AGACAGATTTGTGTGGAAAAAGCTACCCTTTCTCAGTACAGTTATTTAACAGGTTATGAAAAGCACTGGACACGAAGGCGATCCTCCTATTAAATTCTGAATGGACTTTATCATTGTTGAAAATACTGGAGCCGAGGTACCTAAACTGGTCGACATCCTCTATAGTCTCCCCTGTCAGTTCCACTAGTCGATCAGCGGTATCTGATGAACTCCAAATAACCTTCGACTTTCTGGCGTTACGATAGAGGCTGGATTTCGCAGCAGTGTTGCAGACAGAATTCGCTAGATGACAGAACCCTTTGCAGTAATAATCAATCATCAGGACAATGTCATCTCCATATTGCAGGTCAAAAGACGTCTAGCGGGATATTTTGAACCGCACCGTCGTTCTACAATGAAATAATCGTCTTTTGCCTGGGTCTGTACTATTTCAGAGATGAAAGTCGAGAACAATGTTGAATAGCGAAAGCGAAAGCACGTCTCCGTAGCGAACTCCGCAATTAATAACTAACTCCGATGGCTATCCTTCGACTTTGCCAGCAAACATGGTTCCCGCATGCATATCTTCCAAAATGGAAACTGTTTGTTCAGGTATCGCATAGCCTTCTAGAATTCTTTACATTGTTGGACGATATGCTGAATCAAACGCAACTTTAAAGCAACCTGGCAACCAGAATCGTCGATATTGCTCGATGATCCTACGAAGAGTGAAAAGTCCGTCTGGACACGAATGTCTGTCCGGCAGCCTGCCTCAACCTTTCCAGAGTATTACAACCGGGAATAGACAATAGGGTAATACCTCGATAATTAGAGTATTAGGCTGCCCGTCTCCCTTTGCATATGGGGGCAATTACACAAAGCTAAAATTAACTAGGGAAGCCACATTGACATCTATATTTTATGAAGTAGAGTATGTAATCATTCTTATCATATTAATTATTCCTATCAATTACCATTACTATAAACTATTGCTATTATTTGTACCTCTTCTCTTCCCCCCCCGCATTTCATTTACTCCAGGGGAACTTGATCAATATAACAGGACACTTTTATTTTGAGTTGTG